TTTCATTAACAGCGGAGATGAATCACTTCCACAGTAATCGAATTTATGATTATAATACTGTGATGCGTCTGTACCTGGAACAGCAGGCACAATTCTATGAAACGGTAAGCTGTACTGAATATAGTGCTCTTTTTATGTCCGTCAGCTATACAGTTACTTGTTCTTCTAAATAGAGTTGAACTCTTTGTGCTCAAATTTTATGTTATACATTTTAAAAATTTAAATAGAAAGTTAAGTGAATATTTATGGTTTTATCTATTGTTTCATAAATCACTTGTGAAAATCTTCACTTTAAAAATGTAGACGTGTAATTATTTCCCTTTGTTCCCTTAGAAAATGCTGCTTGGCACTGCTAATCCTTCCTGCATTGCACATTTTGCATGAGACTTTTGCAGCTGGCACTTTTTTTTTGGCTAGGATGCACATTGAATTAAACTTGGCAACTCATTAGCAATTCTTTCATTCCTTTCAGAGAGAGGGGAACGGTTAAGATACATGCAGTTATTCTACTTAATTCTCTGTAATTTTACCCCCTGAACCCCATACCAAAGAGGCAGAGGAAATGTAGTTTAAATTGCATTTAACTCCTGTCCAGAAGCTACTGCCCATTTAGATGAATATATTAATATATAAACAGACCTGAATAATATGGTAGCTGGAGATTAATATTTCCACATATGCATTGTTGTTATCAATCAGCTTTTTAATCACCTGTTTGCAATGAATTGCCATTTTAGCCAGATCTATTATGTCTTTTTTCATCTTTGAAATAAATTAGCCAACTTTGTTTGCACACTGGTTTTGAAGAACATAGTGAAATTTACCCAGGTTTTATTTTTGTTGTTGTTGTAAAATATATCATGTCATGGATTTTAGTATTGCAGTCATTAAGTGTGCTAAAGTATGTTTCTGAATAATTACATCCTTTGAATTATTGTTTGGATTTATTTGTTTCTCATGTCTATTTCATGCCACAGGAACAAATTGTGTAACATTCTTTCTTCCATGATCTTTAAAAGCAGATTGATGGTGGGGGAATTCTGAGAGCATTCCAGGGTTCTAAGTTTTACATTCCCTGTGTGTTTCAGATTGCACAGAAACTGAGGCAGGCTCTCAGTCGCTTTCCTATGATGTAGCTGAAGGCAGATGAAGAACAACAACTCCAAAGTGCTTTTTTTGATTATTGATGGGGGAAGTGCAAATAAAGAAGTGGAAGACTTTGCCATCCAAAAAGCCTTTTTCAAAAAGATAATTTCTAAAAAATGAACCTTAGAAAAGAAGAAAAACTTTACATGTTTACTTTGTTAGCCTTATAGCCCTGGATATTTATCATTATTTTTTACCCTACATGTTTTCCTTCCCTAGCTGTTATTGAAATGAAGCTGGAAAGTACTGTATTTGATGAGACTAAATTGCCAAAGTTGGTTTGCCAGATACTAAAAAAAAAAAAGATATATTGTTCTAAACCGGAGTGGACAAACATATGGATATTTGGATTTATTTTTTTTTAGTTTAACTACTTTGCCCATGTTAGGTAAGAGTTAAGCATCCTAATCTCTTCAAAAGCATAAAATGATCAGATCTTAAAAGGATAAGAAAGCCAACATTAGGATCTATAGATATATAATTGTTAAACTGCCTTCTAGCTTTCAGGTAAGTTCTATGGAGAGATTCATCCCATTTCTACTATAGCCATAACATTAATTTTCTGTAATATATATAAATATATATTTATATGGATTACTTCTCCTTAAGGGCTGTTCTTGTACCTCAGATGCCTTCTAAGGCTGTGATATTTTCTTCCTGCGTTTATATACAGTAGATACAGATATTCTGAACATCTGGAAAAAACTGTTCCATCCAGTGGTCCAAGCCATACACACTTAACAAATTATCAATTTATGTATTAGGGTTTCCCCCCTTTTACATCCTTATATTTAGTAGCACATACCTAATCATAACCAACATGATAGGAAATTTTCTAAGCTCATTGCTGTATGTTGAGTCCTTCAGTCATAACATGGTATCTTGTACTGTTTCATCAGGAAAATTAAATCATTCAGATTTAAAATATAGGTTAGGATTAACAGAACATTAGCTACTTAACAATGGACTCTGCTTGCAATGTTAGGTTCAATTCATAAATATCAATTTATATATAGATTATAGGTCACACAGACCTGAACTGTGGAAAACTGAATGAAAAGATATATTCATAAACAAGCCATTGAGCTAAATGCAGCTTTCTATTTAATTTTGATTGAGAAGTAAAGAACTTTGCTTTTTTATTATCAAGCAAGTGCTATATGCATTCTGAAAGTTTGTCTTAATATGGCATTGTCATTCTGTTCCAGTAATTATGAGATCAATAAAGTATTTGAATCTGTCAAATGAATAGGCCTATCAAACCAAACCACATCAAATTAGAATGTAATCTTGACACAAATGCTGTTCTTCGTTGTTTTTAGTGACATTTTTTCCACAAACTTGTTTTATTTTTAATTTAGTTGCCTTCTAAAATTCTATAAAATGTTATATAGCCACTGAAATAAATGTACAAATTGTAAAGAATGTGTATAAATGTTTTACACCAAATGTAATAAAGATTTCATCTTGCATATAGAATCAGTTTATAAGTTAACTGCAAAGCATATAGTGAACTTAAGGCACTTTCTTCACTGCACCATTTTTTTTAGCATTTGTATCTATCTTTGTAACTGGTTTTCTGGTGATTATTTTTCATGAATCTGGGTTAATCCTGATGACAGAGGTTGCAGATTTAACAGTTTTTAAACAGGCAAACTGGGCACAAAAGAGCACAAACCATTGTTTCATTGTGAAAACTATTTGGAATTGGCAGGTCTGTAAACTTTCTAGCAAATGAAGTCTTGAAATTGATAATAAATATTTATACAGATGAGATGCTTTGCTTTTTTTCCAGTGGAGTAATTTACAACTCAATATAAAATCTATTATCTGCAAAAAGTGTTTCATCTATATTCAGAATTTATTCATTTTTCATATTTTCATTTTTCTTTCCAGAAAAATACAGAATAACAGTGTGTCTGATATGCTATATTTGACTTAGAACAGATTTTTTTCATTTCTGAATTCCCTCTAAATTACTCCATCAAAGAACCTCGGGTCCACCAAATACCAAATATACTTTTCCCCCCAACAGAAAATTAGGTGTATATCTTGTTATATATTAAACTTATAATAATGCCATTGATAGTTTTCACTGCTAGTATATCTACTTGCCCTCCATAGGTCTGGCAGGAAAGGCATGCTGCGTGTCCTGCCTATAAAATATTTCCATCTGACAGGACCTAAGAGGTGGGCCTTTTTTGCCATGGCACCTGCCCTCTGGAACATCATCCTTTCTGAAGTGAGGGTAAGCCCCAATTCTTATGGGGAAAAAGCCCTCATAACATGTTTTTTTCATTAAGCCTGAGGATTCCTGGTAGTAAGGAGCCTATCCATTGATTATATTGTATATAAGCATCTTTTTTGTTTTATCCTTGTTTATGGTTTTAATGGGTTTGCAAAATGTTTAATTCTTGGTTTTATTGTAAACCATGCAGAGTCACTTTAGGTGAGATATAAATTTGACAAATAAATAAATAGAAATAAAAAAAATCAACATCAGAAAGTACATGGTAATAATAATTAATATTTATTACTGAGTAGCCTGGTAGTTACATTTTTTGAAAAAAATCTCTATGCACTCCTAACCTAACCATTACCAAAATGCTGAGTGGGTCCTCTACTTATGTCCTGCCAGCCACTTACATGTCTTTACCCCTATCCAATATTCAGCTCTCTCCAGTGTGGACCAAAACAAGGTTGTAGGGCAGAGCATCTTCCCCAAAAGCTACACAACGGAAGCCCAAGTGGTATCCATGACCCACAAGCTAGCCTGCCTCCATGTACTTTGGGAAACATTACTTGACCTGTTTCGTCCTCTATTCCCCACACATACAGTGAGAGAAAAAAATATTTGATCCCCTGCTGATTTTGTACATTTGCCCACTGACAAAGAAATGATCAGTCTATAATTGTAATGGTAGGTTTATTTTAACAGGGAGAGACAGAATAACAACAAAAAGTCCAGAATAACACATTTCAAAAAAGTGATAAATTTTAATGAGTGAAATAAGTATTTGCCCCCTTCGCAAAACAAAACTTAGTACTTGGTGGCAAAACCCTTGTTGGCAATCACAGAGGTCAGACGATTCTTGTAGTTGGCCAGGTGTGCACATATTTCAGGAGGGATTTTGTCCCACTCTTTGCAGATCCTCTCCAAGTCATTAAGGTTTTGAGGCTGACGTTTGGCAGTTTGAACCTTCAGCTCCCTCCATAGATTTTGTATGGGATTAAGGTCTGGAGACTGGCTAGGCAACTCTAGGACCTTAATGTGCTACTTCTTGAGCCACTCCTTTGTTGCCTTGGCCATGTGTTATGGGTCATTGTCATGCTGGAATACCCATCCAAGATCCATTTTCAATGTCCTGGCTGAGGGAAGGAGGTTCTCACCCAAGATTTGATGGTACATGGCCCCGTCCATCGTCCCTTTGATGCGGTGAAGTTGTCCTGTCCCCTTAGCAGAAAAACACCCCCAAAGCATAATGTTTTCACCTCCATGTTTGACGGGGATGGTGTTCTTGGGGTCACAGGCAGCATTCCTCCTCCTAACACGGCGAGTTGAGTTGATGCCAAAGAGCTCGATTTTGGTCTCATCTGACCACAACACTTTCACCCAGTTCTCTGAATCATTCAGATATTCATTGGCAAATCAGACGGGCCTGTACATGTGCTTTCTTGAGCAGGGGGACCTTGCAGGCGGTGCAGGATTTCAGTCCTTCACGGCGTAGTGTGATGACTATGATCCCAGCTGCCTTGAGATCATTGACAAGATCCTCCCGTGTTGTTCTGGGCTGATTCTTCATCGTTCTCATGATCATTGAAACTCCACGAGGTGAGATCTTGCATGGAATCCCAGACCGAGGGAGATTGACAGTTATTTTGTGTTTCTTCCATTTGCGAATAATTGCACCAACAGTTGTCACTTTCTCGCCAAGCTACTTGGCGATAGTCTTGTAGCCCATTTGAGCCTTGTGTAGGTCTACAGTCTTGTCCCTGACATCCTTGGACAGCTCTTTGATCTTGGCCATGGTGGAGAGTTTGGAATCTGATTGATTGATTGCTTCTGTGGACAGAAGCTGAGATTAGGAGCACTCCCTTTAAGAGAGTGCTCCTAATCTCAGCATGTTACCTGAATAAAAGACACCTGGGAGCCAGAAATCTTGCTGATTGATAGGGGATCAAATACTTATTTCACTCATTAAAATGCAAATCAATTTATAACTTTTTTGAAATGCGGTTTTCTGGATTTTTTTGTTGTTATTCTGTCTCTCACTGTTAAAAGAAACCTACCATTACAATTATAGACTGATTGTTTCTTTGTCAGTGGGCAAACGTACAAAATCAAGGGATCAAATAATTTTTTCCCTCACTGTACAGTAGGTGTGGAAACGTCTGTTTCATGTCTATTCTCTCCTTCCCCAGATTGTTCTGAATATCACCATGATATATATAGTAGCGGCTGAGAAACAAATGCTATATGTGTACTTTGTCTCTAGACAGAAAAGACTGTCTTATGTTCTGGTTGTAATGAGTTATTAATTTAAACTGGTTGTATGAATATGTCTGAATCATTTCCCTAATGCTCTCTCTTTAGCTTGTAAACATGAGGATCTATGTTGTTTAAGAATTCCAGCAAAGGAAGCGTTTCCCTACCACGAGAAAGTCACATTTTACAAGCTTTCTTTTGAAAAAGTTAAAAGTACCGTATATACTCGAGTATAAGCCGAGGTTTTCAGCCCATTTTTGGGGCTGAAAAATGCCCCCCTCGGCTTATACTCGGGTCAACTAAGGAACTAAGGGGTCGACATAGACGGGAGGGGGGGGAAACAGTTCCGGAGGGAGACAGCCCAGTAGCAAGAAGCCGGCGGTCCGAGCGGAATGGCACGGAAAACCTACCAGTCGACGTGAGAAGCTCCAGTGTTGCTGGTAAGCAAGGCTTGGCCTCCGCGGCCCGGTTCTGCTGGACCGGCTTTCACGGCTCCAGCCCGGGGACGCCAGCGGCATAGAAAGCGGTTTGGTGGCGCTGCCGTGGGCGGGGTGTCCTTGCAGCGGACAACTTGGGCCCGGATATTTCCTGCGGCTCGCGCTCGGGACCGGACTGTTAGCGTTGCCATGGGACCACCCCCTGCGGTGCCAGCTAATGCGGCATGTTTCCAGCGGCGAAAAAGGGGCCTCAGCTTAAGGAGTTGATCCTGGGCGGCAGTTACCGGTATGTGTG